ATTTTATTTCTATTAGATCTGAAAATGTTGTGTAACACTACAACCTGAAACCATAAATAGATTGTGTTGGCCTGTACAGGAGATAAAGGAAAAAAAATTAACAACAGCGGTGAGATGGAATCGTCCAAATCACCAAAGTAAACGGGACCTGGGCTTGTTGCAGGATCTGAAGTTACTAAACATTTTGTGAGTGTATGCACTCACACTTAGGACCATATAATAATAAACATGTCCGTGATGAAAGTTGGGCAGCACGCTAATGTCCTTACTCCACTCTGTATGCTCGTATGTGTCTGACCCTTTCACTCCTTTGATTTTTTTTCTCGTCCTTTTTTTTGCCTTTTCGTCACGTCTGTCTTTGCTGCGTTCTCCGTCGTTTTGTACATAACTGTTTTTGGGGCAAATAAAATGCAAGTAGGGATTAAAACCGCAGAATTAATGATTACCGGTGCTGGAAATACTAGCACTTGATGTCGTGTTTTGATTTTGTTGCCACGGGTACCCACAAAGCAATGCGCGAAAGTCACGTGGTCTGTCAATCTCTATATCATGCTTAGGTAACTAGCAAAACTAGCGAGCTAACTTCCGCTAACTTCTAACTCCGTTAAATGTAATAAATTCTGTTTTCATGGACGCCTGGATGTCAAACTTCATAGTTACACCTGGTAAAGCAGCAACGCTGATCATTTTATTAAAGATGAAAGAATTTAGACAGTTTGTAACTCTCAGTGATGTCGCAGTTAGACTTTGGGACCTGAAGAAGATGGAGTTTAGGACCCAGATTACTTCCAGATTTACGAGCACCTTAGTCCGACAAATACGGTAATAATGACGGCCCGCTTGCATGTTCTACAAAAAAATGTGCTTTAGTGGGTATCTGACGGACAAACACCAAACCAGTTCCACATCACTGAAGCTGCACCATTTTTACAAACCAATTCTGGTTCATCCGTTTCACTCAACAACCTGCTTTCCCCCTTCTCATTCTCCGTTGCTGCCATGCTTTTTCGGACATGTGCGTATGAAAACAAATGCACTGCGCATGGGCGTTTTACCCATCTTCTATCGCGATATTTCATTTTCTTATCGTTACCTAACATTGCACCGGTATTACCGTGAACAGTATAATATGGCCCAGCCCTACCACCAAATCATATAATTCAGTATCAGATGGATTAGTAGTCTAACGTGTGATAATTATATCAGAAATCAGCTTCTATAGAAAGTTAAACTCAGTCACCACAGAGAAAATCTGAAAATGTGATCGGGGCTTAAATTTTTGAGTTTTAAATGCATTTTAGTC